TCTTATTGTTCTTTTTTTTTTTTTTTTTAACACAAAAAATGCAGGCATTGTTTCACTAGAATTGTCAGAATTTACCTAGATTAAGCAGATTATCCAGCATGGCATTTGCAAATTCACTCATACCAATCCAAAAGTATTTAAAACAATACCAACCTTCTTTAATTTCTCAAGTTTTGGAAGATTAGACACCGATAATAAGTTGATGTTTATCATACTCAGGAACTCCAAATTCACAAAGTCTGATGTGAGGCCTGTAATTTTGCCATCATCCGAGCGGCAGTTATCTAAAACCATCTCTTTGACCTGCACAAATAAATAGAATAGTAAATATATGCATACAAGTAAACATGAAAAAAAAAAAACACAAGTATAACCAACAGACTAGACTGAGTAAGAATTCAGATTAGTGTGCCCCTCATTACACCAGAACACTGTACAAGCAGAAGACTGCTCTTAAGCAATTATATAGCAGGTTTTACAAATGGGTGTAGTAATGCAGTCTGTCCAGTCTAATGAGATTCCTCCCCTCTATGGGTTGGGCAGAGATGAGACAGCACCACACCAAGTATTCATGCGCAGACAGTGCCCTAACAGTTTATGAACCGAGACCCCAATCCTAGTTCCTGGATAAACAGCACTAGCCTGTGACTACACTAAAGCTACTGTCTGCCACCATATCATTGCTACCAAGCCATCAGACATTAAAATCTCCACAACACCTACATGTTCAAATTTATCACCTAAAGTGCACTTACTGAATGCCAAAAATCCTTAACAGACCAAGTACACACTTGGCTACATGAGAAATTAAACAGGCAAGCTTAGTAAGGTAGCAAATCCGTGCTGACAAAATGCAAGTATAGTGTACCCTGTTCCCAAGACGGCGGTACAACTTTAGTCTAAATGTACAATTCCTCTAGCTGTTAGAAAATTAAATATCCAGCAGAGAACTAGGACTGTGCAACTGTGTTCCTAGTTCTCAGACAAAAGTTTAACCCCTTAAGGACCAATAACTGAATTATTCCGTCATAGTTATCTGTGCACCATAAGGGCCCATGGCTGAATTATTCCATCATGGGCCCTTAAGGGTTTAAGCTTCTGTCAAGCACTAAATGAGAACTTGTATATGCATATGTCTCAAATTAAAGCCCTTTTTGTCCTTTAGAAAAACTGTATACAATATGTGTTGGTGCAATAAATGTGAAAGATGGAAATTGTGGTTAAGACCCTTTTGTGCAGTCACAGTTCAAGTAGATTTTACTACTGCTTTTTCTTTGGCCAACATATTACATCTAGAAAAAAACAAAACCTAGCTATGTTTCACAAAAACGTTTGACAATGAAACATTCGGACCAAACACTGAAAACATGTCAAAGCAAAAAACTACCATGCTGTTCAAAGGAAACCTATGCAACAGGAATGATTCAATTTGCAGACCAATCATATCTTGAGACAATGACCTGTAACAAGTACACAAATGAGTTCTGACATCACCGGTTATATAAGTGTCTCAGGCCAGTAGTCCAGCTAAAAACAAATAGCATTATTGGAGGGTCACCAGTGGAAGTTCATAGTTCTCGGAAGTTTCCTCCAAATTATCTACAAACATAGGAAAAGTTCCAACAATATACCAGATCCTCACAAGATGTCTTGTAAACTGCTAGGGAGAATATATTTTAGAATATTTAAGATGTACCTGTATTAACGCTTACATTAGGAAATCAACAGCAGGAGTTATATGCAGGCACCCAGAGCAGTCAGGGTATACCTTTAGTTTAGCTTCAAAGTATTACAGGAAAATAGAAACCCTAGGCCGTTCGTGATTTCAATCTTCAGCTTGACCCCTCCCCACAATGCAAACTTCCAAACTGGTCCCTGTGGACTCACACCACATGAATAGCAGGCAAGTGTACAACAGTTTGATACATTTACCGACTGAGTATTTCCAAATTAACTCTGAAGTTAACGAACGCAATATGCCAGCAATGTGCATGCATCCCCTTATATTTAATCTGGAACCGTGCAAGACAGTTTAATGTACCCAAGTATTCTAAGCAAATATGCAGTAAGTGCTGAAAATAAAAAAAGACACTTGAAAACTGACGAGAACCAATTCACTACATCTCAGGGTATAGTCACACCATAGTGTTGTTAGTTGCACGGTTCCAGGCAATTCATGCATACTACCACACCTACTGTGTTATAGTGCAGGAGATGCGTTGCACTGCCATTCATTTGAACAGCAACCCAAGCACACCTTCAGATGCAATGTGCCTGAATTGAGTGATGGAGCAAGCTTGGAGTAAAGATGAAAACTTTTGGGGTTCCTTGGATCTCCTTCAGGCTTCATACAATTATAAAGCCTGGTTAAGGGAATTTAAGATCTCAAAAGTTAGTCAACACAAACTCTTAGCACTCTGCAGATTTAACATGAAAGTGCTAAAAATAAAAGTTACATGTGAAAGATTAAAAAGGGATACAACCAGGCCTGCCTTGTTAGAGATATTGGAAATAACCAACAAGTTTACACTCCTGCCTTCTATGACCTAAAAACAGGATCTCTACACTGATTGATGAACTAAACCCAATAAGTAGAGCAAGTCATTTATATGAGGTTTAGGTTATACTGTACACTAAAAGTACAATAAAATTTGAAGAGCTTGAGGCATGACATCAGAGCTTTGACTTCAACGAGGCAGCCATCTGTCCATCCTCCATAAAGGCCAAAGTCCACATTACAGTATGCACATCTACAGAGATTGTATAAAAAGCAGCCATGCTCTTCAGACAAATTCTAATAAAGCCAATATATAAATTGAAGAAACTCTAAGGGACACGTTGTTAGGGTTTATTTTACCTCTACTGTGGCTATAGACTAGCTGACTATATGTAGCAGATATGAGATTTTTTTTTAGAGTACACCAACTGCTGTACCCTTCTCTTCCTTAAAAAGAGAAAGGGCTAAAAATGTCTTAAGGTTTGCCCCTTGACATCACCCCTAGGCCTCATTCAGAAGGGGTGCACACATCCAAGCCGCATGCACACCCGTAATCCCAAGAGGGACAGGTGTCTGCGCCTAAGTGCCGGCATGCACAGATGTGCATGTTAGTGTGTGCATATGACTGTGTACAGCCGCTTCCTCCCATAGGGGAAAATGGGCTGCTGTGCGCAATTACACGCAGCACCCGTCCCTCCCAGGATCAGCCCGTGTATGGGCGTACACGTCGCATGGACGCGTACGCTCTACCTGAATGAGGCCTTACAGAAAAGAAAAAAAAAAAACACACAAGTTTAACCAGTTGACATCCGCGGTGTTAAACCCCCTTCCCATCCAGGCCATTTTTCAGTATTCAGCGAACGGACGGCAAGAGGTTAAGTAATGCTTAACAAAATCTACAACTCCAACAATGGTTAAAAAGGCACCAGGCTTGGAGACCTACAAGAGAAAATCCTTGACAGATCCCGTATACCATGTCCCATTTCCAATCAGTACAGGGGCATAGTGTTCCATCAGTTATTGCACCGAGCAATTCATAACTTGGTGATAGCTTGCTAGGATTGGATGCTAGAACACTATTGCTTGACCCAGGGCTATCTGTATTGGAGCATTTTACCACTTCACAATCCAAGCACAATCATCTTTAGAACTACCAAAACTAGATAAAAAAGGACTTAATCTATTCAATCAACATGTATACAATCAAGTAAGCTCTTGTACTACACACTTGTTGGTAGATCTAAAAGGATATTGTACAATCAGATTGTAACACGTATGGTGCGCTTAAGAGGCAACATACACTTTGCAATCTGACCATGTAATCTTCCATTTTACCATGTTATGATGCATTACCTAACCTACTCAATTTGCATCCAGACAGGCTCTTGAACGCTAGTTGCCTGCAGAGCTAAAGGAGATCATGCAATTAAATTATAATGTGCATGTGAGCTTAAAGCTCGCAATACACCTTACTGTAAATCAACTTTAGAGCTTGTCCACACAGTATCGGTTGAGCTGTGATTTTCTGCACGCCACCGCGCATGGTAAAGACAATAGTTGTCACACATGACATACACAGAAAAATACAGCTCAACTGACATGTTAACAAGCTCTAAAGTTAATTGCATAGTAAGGTGTAGAGTGAGCTTTAAGCGCCTCACGCACATTACAATATAATATGTTAAAACCCAAGATTTACAAAAGCTATGTAATCTAATGACTTACCTAAACCATACAATCAGTCTGCAGCTAATCAGTCAGGCTCGTGCACTACTTCATTGCTGACATATCTAAAGGTCACCACACACACACGAAAATCTGAGCATACAACCCATGAACACATCAGATCTACCAAAACTATGTAAAAAGATCTTAGCAAGCTAACCGGTTTGCATTCATAGTACAGTAAATCTAAAGGTGGTTTTATAAATCAGACTATCGTGTGTTGTGAGCGTAAAGGAAATTGCATAATTCAACTGTAAAGTATGCTCTGAGCTTTGAATAGTGAAAAAATAACGAAGGCAACAGGCTAGTCCAGGAAAACGTGCACCCACGAGGCACCAATGGAGACGAAGTTTGAAGCAAGGACGCCTATGTAATGGAGAAAGTGTGCTGCCTCATGCAGGTTCCAGCAGGAAGCATGGAGGCGCATCCTGATCACACACCATAAAGAGGCTCGCTGTGGGTGCCATTTCTGCGTTTAGTAGAGCACACACACACAAACAGCATTTCTCATAGAGAACTTAAGTTTCCCCTCAGGCCGACCCCCTCCCCTCATGGCGGGTCAGGAAACACACACGGCTATGGTGAAGGCGGGAAGAAGACGGTTTGGGTGTACTCTACGTTTGAATGACGGAGCAGCTCCGCACACGAGTGCCTAGCAGGGCCATCTACCTGGCCGGGGAGAAACAAAACCCGGGCTGGAGAGTACAAGACGGGAATGAGCCCGCCAGTGACCGACGAGAAGCTGCTAGAGCGGAGGAATCCGCCTCTCCCGGCATGGCTGGATGGCTCCGGAGTTTATGGCCGGCCACGTGTTTTAGACAAGTATAATGGCCCCACACGCACACCCTCCTAGCACACGACCCCTTCGTCTTACAGGATCACTCCGCCGCCACTGTGCTATAGACGGAGCGAAGCTGTCCCATCCATCCGGGCGATAGCACTCTACCTTCCCCGCCATAGCCGAGCCACAAGCATGGCCAGTTTCCCCTCAATGAGCGTCAATTACGCAGAAGAACGAGGGTGGCTTACCTCAGCTGCTTTCCTATTCCTCAGCTCCAAGGTGAGCCTCTTCTTCATGTCCATGGCGACAAGTTCGAGCGCTTCCAGGAGAAAAGAGAAGTTGTAAAAAAAAATGTAGAAATAATTAAAAGAGGGGGCTTGTCTGCTCTTCTTTATATAGGAACGGCGCCAAAGACACAAAGGAGGGGTTTGGTTCTAGGGCGGGGGGATATAACAAGCCCGCTACACTGACCCCTACAGGACGCTCTGCGCAACTGCAGCGTGCCCTCTATAGGCAAGACTGGCGCTGGGAACAATAAAGACTTTATTTATAACACGTCCGAAGTGCGCGAGAAGCCGTATGGCGCCTTTCACAACAATGACGGGGAGGAGGCGGGGGAAGCAAACTCTAAATGGCGATACACGGCATGGCGTTCGACCGTTGCCGTTTTAGAGGCTATATTAAATTCTCGTATTCTTGTACTGCCGATCAGAAAAAAAATGGTAAAATGACATGGCTCCCTACGAATTTCGGGTTTTTAATATATACAACGTTGTGTGCTGTTGTTTTTATATCAGGCTTGCGTTCAGTAATTTCAATAGCGGATGTAATAAGAATTGGGGACGAGGTCACAGCACAACGTGTGGAGATTGGATTAAAATGCTGCATTTCACCCCGGAAGTTCTACAAGAAAAGTTTTCAGCTGCCACACAAGGTCTCATACACATGAGCATATATTAGGTCAAATACACGTGTATTGGTATGTGGCGCAAAACATGTCTGTATTTGCAACTGCTATGATAGCCTGTCCATAGGAATGTATGGACAGGAAGCGGTGTACGCCTGTAAATGCTCGTACCGGTATTTACACAGGGTAGTGTCCGAACGTGGAACCTAAACTCCAGATGTGTACCAGGGTTCAGGAGTGTCCACAGCGTTTTCTGTCTATATATTCCAGAAGTCCGCAGTAGCTGCAAATACAGACTTACAATACAATATTTGATGCAGTGTACAAACAGGCCTATATTTGCTCCAGAAAATACTTGTGTACATGAGCCCTTGGGTCTCATTCACAAGGGGCGTGTTGTCCTGTGTTTCGTGTATAGAAATGAAGACATTGCAAGAGTGAAGGGCCAGTTTTTGATGTGTCTGAAGCTGCAGGAAGAAGCATGTGGCCAGTTCATGTAACTATGGAGAAACAGGAGCTGTGCACATGAAGCTTGTAAGGAAGGTGTAAGGACCTGGATCCATCGTGTCTGCATCCACCGTACACCAACTGTGCAACTGGCAAGATGCGGAGCTGCATGAAGCAGCGTATGTGTGTGGGTACACAGCCCCTGTGTCTCCCTAGAGTGGGGGTCAGTACCCTTTTACACACTAAGAACCTTTTTGCAACCATCAGATAACTTTGTACTGTAGTGTTAGTTAAAAGTTTACACTTTTAGTAGTGCTAATAGTAAGTTAATAAAAGTAATTCACCGGCACACACTTAAAGGGTTTATAACGTATATATGTTTACTCAATACCCAATGTCACATACTGTCATACGGTGTTAACGTTTTGGGTTCGCACAGGGATCCTTCATCAGAGCGACAGTGATAATAGTAAGTTAAACTCACTAATTCTATTTTAATGTGTTTATCTTGCCATTAGCAGCACGACTATAAGGGCCCGTTCACACCATGTCCGGATCATCACCAGACCAGATTGTTTCCAGACCCAAAATGCATCCAATATATCCCTATGCTTTTTCTGGCCTCTGTTCACACCAGCGCAGTCTGTTCCAGAACAGAAAAATACTGCTTGTCCTATTTTGTCTGGTCTGAATGCACTGCAACGCAGCTGTAAGACCATTTTAACCAGTTGACATCCGTGGTGTTAAACCCCCTTCCCATCCAGAACAAAACATTTTAAATTCCAAACGTGGCAAAGGCACTGGGTTCCAGATCTGGTCCAGAAAATGGTGTGAACCTGCCCTGCGTGAAAAAACTGAATAACTTGTGCACACACAAAACATATTACATGTGCTGAATCATAAACTGGACTTACAGTTTTAGGGCCCGTTCACACCACATCATGACCAGACCAGATTGTTTCCGGACCCAAAATGCATCCTAATGTATCCTTATGCTATTTCTGGCCTCTGTTCACACCAGCGCAGTCCGTTCCAGACCAGACAAATGCTGCTTGTCTCATTTTGTCTAGTCTGGAATGCACTGGAACGCATGCAAACCCCCCCCAAAAAACAGCTCCGAAACGCGACAAAATCACTGCAAAATGCAATGCACCGCAATCCAGATCTGGTCTGGAAAATGGTGTGAACCTGGCCTAAGGGCCCATTCACAACACTTCCAGACCCAAAAAGCATCCTAATATATTCCTATACTCGGGGCTTGAAACATTTTATGGTGTCTTACCAGTCAGTCAAAAATGTCACCAGTCAGCATGACCGGACTATAGCCTTGCAATTTATGTTAACATTTTTTGGGACAGATAGAGCTTTCTTTTGGAGGTATATTATCACCACTGGGGGGGGGGGGTTATTTTTTACTATATAATAAAAAAAGTAAATTTAAAAAAAAACAAAGTTTCCCTACGTTATGTTATAAAACATCTATTCTTACCCATATTTTCGGTACAACATAAAAGACGGGGTCACGTCCGGTAAATAGACACCAAACATGTCAAGCCTTAAAATTGCACGCGCCCGCAAAAAACGACCACACTGAAAATTGCCTGCAGGCGACGCTTAAAAAGCTTTTACCGCTCATCAGTTTAGTGTTATCAGTAATTAATGTGGGGGGACGGGGGACTTAAAAAAAAAAAAAAGATTTATTTTTTCATTTTTTTCATGCTTTATTTTTTTTTATGATTCTTTAATTTTTGTATTACTTTTTTTTTTTTTACACAACTTTATTGCTTTCACATGGGGGGGAAGGGGCTAAGAAGCCCCCTATGTGATAGCCAATTTACATGACCGGTCCTCTTTATGAAGACATCAGGGGTCTCCAAGACCCCTAATGTCACCTAGGGACCCCCAGAGAAGCTGATGAAGCACAGATCTGGTTCACCAGCTTCTGTAGCTGGAAAGTGACACTGAATGTAGGAAGTGATGTAATATACATCACTTCCTGCATTCCGGGACTGGAGAGTAGATCAAAGGGAGATTGTGTACTGATCTCCTGTCACAGAGCCGTGCCGGTCCCGGCCGCATCGGGCACAGCTCGTCAGGCTCCGCCGTCCCCTCGGTCCAGATCTGATCCGGAAAATGGTGTGAACCTGCCCTTAGTGTGATCCCTGTGCCTATATTTTACGGCTCAGTTGTGCTATGTCTAGAATATTACTTTCAGCTGACCTCAGACTAGCACCAATGCACATTTTGCACTGCAGACCAGCACCAATGCACACTGTGTACTGCAGACCAGCACCAATGCACACTGTGTACTGCAGACCTCAGACCAGCACAATGCATTGCAGACCAGCCCCAACCTGAAACTAGCCTTCAAAGCTGCACACACATACACAGGCCCCCACAAATGCACAGAAGTATCATGATCCACAAATAGCATTGATTTTATTCCTGTCTTATATATTAGGGCCGGAATGAAATCAAAGCTATTTGTGGATCAAGATAATGCTGTGCATTTGTGGGTGTCTGCATGTGTGCAGCTTTGAGGGCTAATGTTAGGTGGGAGAGCAGCAGACTGTGGGGCATATGATACATACATTAATAATCTGGGGCGATCCTCTGGCTTTGTTCACTATACGCTGCCTGTTGGTCAGTATGGCGAGGAATAGTAAAACCTCCCGTTGGGCAGATCGGTCAGGTAACTTCTTGTTTCTGTCTGTCGGGCTGTGAAATGAGGGATCCTTGAGGCAGGAGCTCAGGCAGACCAAGTGGTGGGGCTCCTCAGTGCAGCGATGTTCAGGCACGTCACAGAGGTGGGTGGGCCAGACTTGTAATTGACAGCCAACTCGAGGGAGCTGTCAATTACAAACTGTAAAGAATGGGGTTGCGTGCCAAACTGGGCACACATGCCGGAGGTTGCCGTCCCCCGCCATAGAGTTACATGAGCTTCGCACGTGCTACATCCACCAGCTCCTTATGCATCGAAAACTTGTTCTTCATACTGTGCAGGTTAACACGCCCCATGTGAATGAGGCCTTAATGCAGGGGTGGCCAAACTGCGGCCCTCCAGCTGTGGTGGAGCTAAGAATCCCATGAGGCTTTGCAAGATTCTCACAGCCATGGACATGACTCCCGGAGAGAGATGCTTCATGGGATTTGTAGTTTCCCCACAGCTGGAGGGACAGCGTTTGGCCATCCCTGCCTTAATGTGTGTCTGTTCTTTCAGAAGAGTGATTTATAAAGCCGGAGTATAGCCCATGTCCTAGGAAGCTAAGCCCCTTGTCCCAATTTCCTCTATAGCTAGTCACTGCTTTAATCTAAGGTACAGCCCTTATTATAAAGAAAAAAAAAATGAATGGCTCATGCACACATGTAAACCCAGGAGTTTAACAGTGCAGAGTAAAATATGGCTGGATTGTCAGCATCTGGGAACCCCAGCTGGTGCATTTTTTATGCCTATAGAAATGTATTGACAGAATAAACTACGTGGTTATACGACGGTACTTGCATTCAAGCAAAACAAATGGCAAACGCACTAATCAATTTGTTACCAGCTTTACAGCAAGGTGCACATGGAAGGGCTTTAAACAGTAATTGCAAAAAGTTTCCCAGCACACTCACCAGCCAGCATGCAAAAAAAATTGTCTCACCACTAAGGTTAAAAACAGAGGTTTAGATACACGTCTTATGCAGAAAATGTGAAAGCCGCACACTCTATAGTGCGGTCCTAACTCTAAACTATGAGAATCTCCATCTTGGAGCCCCTCTGTTTTTAACCTTAGTGGTGAGAAAAGTTTTTTTGCATGCTGGCCGGTGAGGGTGCTGGGAAACTTTTTGCTATTACTGTTTAAAGCCCTTCCATGTGCACATTGCTGTAAAGCTGGTAACAAATTGATGAGTGCGAATGCCATTTGTTTTGCTTGACAAATTTGGTGCAGTGATGCATGGGGGGTCTCAGCTGCCATTGTGATGTGCGGGGGTCCGGGAGGTTGGGCTTCCTCCTGACAAACCTGCACCCAATTTGATCTTTTGCCACATGTGCTTCAAGATGGAGACTCTCATAGTTTAGAGTTAGGACCCCGCACTATAAGAGGTGCCTTGGCGCGGCT